AGAGGGCACGCAACAAGCAACAGACCAGCCGAGGCAGCGCCTGGGCCCGTGGTCGCGAGAGAAAGATAGATAGACCTGCTCACGTAGGCCACAAAGGGGGGCTAGTCATAAACCGTGCAACACCTGGCGGCACGTCATTAATTATGCAGTGGGCCGCAGCCGCCCTGGCCTCGGCGGCGATCGCTCTGCTCCTGGACACGGCGGCCGCGAGGCATCACCATCGGTCCGGCAATGGGCACAAACCGTCCGGTGACATCTCTCTCTGGATCGACCAGCAACAGATTAAAATGTTCAGCGGTGAGTGGACTCGGTGACGAAAAACCTTCCCGCGGTTTCAGGGGACCCTTGAGAAACGTCCCGTTAACAATAGAACTACCAGCCGGTCGAGTTGACTTTTTCAAATTTTCCTGTAGAAACCAAGAGTGCACCTATCGAGACTTCGATCACTTAAAACTTCGTTCGCGTGTTAGTGAAACAATTTCTTTGGGAATTTCTTAGAGAGATCTATTGTTTTTTAAATAATCGTGGAAGGAGAATTTAGGAATGGGTCATTCTGACCCATCTGGTAGTTCTAGTGTTAATCTAGAGAACTGTCGAACTAGTTAATGTCATTCGTTGCTTGTGCAGTTCGACTGTTGTTTTCTTGATAAATCATTGTACCGTAAGATGTTTCATTGCGTAGATTAAGACGTTACCAACGTCACATATTTGTGACGGACGTAATCCTGTATTTTACATAATGAAAACGAAATTAATCGTATCGATATTGTTATTGGAAATTATAAGCTACATTATATGCAGGAACTCGGTGACTCGTTTTAGTTTCATTTTTCTAATATTTTGTTTAGAAGATTTATTGGATTCCAGGAAATATTATAATTGAGACCGTCGAATAAACGCTGGTAGCAAACGTGTTAACGTAGACGTGTTTCGTACGGTAGATTGCACTGTAAGTAGGTGGAAACTGATTTGTAGTGACTTACTCGCGTTGCGGTTTTTAGTATTATATGTAACTGATGTGTCAACTCCGGTTAACTGTTTGCTAACAATTGCAGTTACGAATTGACCGGAGTTCATGCGACCACCACCCCGTGCAATGACTTCTATCATTGGGGATAGTGTCTGTCAACGCTTGGAAAGTTTTAATTGATGTTTAATCTCGCGAAATGTTTATTTGAAAGTTAACTAACAGATCAATTATTCTTTAGTTTTATTTTTCGAACCGGTGTCATATTTAATGATATTTTGATAATCACATTCAATGATATTCAATGATATAACAATTGTTATATTTACTTCTTGTGCCCATTGGAATATCTCATTGAGATTCGAATTATATTATTTGAATGAATTGTAATGCTGAACCGTCTTGACGCAAGTCATCAGTAATTTTAAAAGATTCCGGTATGTTCTGGCAAACAGACTTTTCGCAGTTAATATTGTTGCGATAAATTTAAATTCATATGCATGTCATACGAAACGTCTATTATGTGAAGTATCATTCTGTCACATTTAGGGCTTGAAATGGAAATATTCGCGATCACCGAGGGCAGGGTGTTGCCGTATCTGCTGGACCCCGAATTCGAGAGTAAACTGCCGATCATCCCGAGCGAGGTAACTTACGTGAACTTCACATGGAAGTCCGGCGTAAAGAAATATTACTACAACTTTTACCGGTTGAAATCCTTCGACGAGTCGATCCTCAAAACCCCGTCTATCACAATCAAAACACAAGGAAGAGTTCCCAAGAGACCGAAGGGTAATGATTTCAATTTCTCTCGGTGTTACGTAACAGGGAAGCAACGTTGCAAGGATCTTTACAGTGTTTCTCGTGAAAGTATATTACACGTCTCATTTACTGGATAATACTGATAAATAGTAAACACGTAGAAAAATGATTGTCTTTTCGAATCACTTAGATTAAAAGTTAAAGTAAAGGGTAGAACTTCGATTAAGTGAAACTTCGATTACAAAACGAACAAACCGAGAATCCTCAAACTACGAGGATGCCTGCAACGTTGCGGTTTGTTATAAATGCTGATGAAGATGATAAATGAATTTCCGTCACAGAATTCAGCGTGATGTTGCCCTGTTCCGGCAATAACTCGGGTATAGCGCAACTGGGTATTGGTCTGATGATCGAGACACGCAAGGGGAAACCTTTAAACGGAACACCCCTTCGTCTTAACCTGAGAAAAGAATGCACCGTGCGCGGTGAGTGCGTCAATCGCGCCCACGATCACCATCTCTCCACTCACACATACAGTTCTGTATCTGCAATAATTCATCGCCTGATTTGCTGCATGTCACAGTGAAGAGTAATCGAAATTGTACACTATACGTTTCTGACTGTTTCGATAGAAATTTCTATATTATTATTTGTTTCATACGTTGCGATCACGTTCGAATTTACTATTTTTTTATAG